TGGAAAGCGGTGATTTTTTAATGTTTATACGAAATTATTTATACTGAGAAAAATATCAGTATCCTGAGATAACAGATACAAGTCAATCTTCTCGAAAGTTAGCATCCATATTTTTAAACGTGTTAAAACGCAAACCCCTAAATATATCGACTTAAAAACAAAGTGACCGACTTAAAAACAAAGTGACTTATGCCACTTTCAAAATAAACGGCTCAAATGTATCTTTACGATATGAATGATCGTAAATTAAAAAATTAGCGACCCGTTATTTCGACGGGTCCCCTAAATCTAATGTTATTAAATTAGATTTCAGGAGCGGGATTATAATATATATATTATATACTATAGTATTATTATAGTGTACGGTCTATGCGCGATGAACTAAATGTAGGAAAACGAAGTATTTAAGGGGTTCGCCGTACACGATATTTCACGGTGAACGAAATTTGGGAAAAATTGTAGTAATTACGGGGATTGGTCAGTAATATCGAACCTATAAATTTTGCATCCAATGGTTCGGCTGGTTAGAGACTCGACGTGAATTGCTCCCAAACCGTTTTCTGAAAGGTATTAATAATGTTTCGTACTATGCGTGCTACGGAGGCAATTAATAGTAATAGTTCTTAATGGATATCCCTTAATCCCTAATGTTTCTCCTGTTATTAACTCTATATACGGCTGGCTACGGAGTTACAGTATTATCGTACTTCGGTAGAAGTCCTACTAACAGAGAAGCTGAGAGCATAATAATATTTCGCTTGCCGGCTTATAATTATTTCTGTCGCTCTGAAAGCATTTTTGGCGAAGTTAATATTAGAAATTCTATTATGTGTCTCATTATTGGTAATAGATCGAAATTATCCATGGAAGTTCAGAATGGATAAATGATTTACTGTATTAAATATACGTAAATAGAAACGGTATATATTCTCAAAAAAAGAAAAAAAAAGAAAATGATTACGAATTAGAAATGGTAGTAGTTTATTTTCATGTTCTTCTGTTTAATACAATCTGAAATTCAGATATTTGTATTACTTTAATAACTGATCTGTAATCTGCGATGAAAACTGCTTAAAAATAGTTAACGATAAATAAATTGCATAACAAAGTAATGCGCGCATCTCGAATGCCAGAGTTGGGAAAGACAGACGATTGAATTTAACTGCGTTAATCGCGATTAACGATTGAATTTCTTCCAATTGATTAAAATTTCCCTTCAATTCCATTCAAAAATCAACAATTATTAATTGTCCCTTTCGATCGACGGTTAATTTCACGAATTGATTAATCAACGACCGACGATTGCATTCGTCGATCGATCAACTCAATCGTCGACTTTCTGACGATTAATGATTTTAATCGTTGTCATCAATCATTCGATGAAATTAAAAGTCTTCACCGATCCGTGCTAAACATTGTCGAATGCTGTTACTAGTTATACGCCAGATTAGATTTCTATTAAATCTGTTAGGTGCAGGCACCGGCTCCTTTCAATTAATTTCGCGCAATCAATCGAGCCATTCAAACGGAATTATTCGATCGCTCTTCAACGGTTACGAAGCCGTCACAATGACAATTAACGCAACACTGTCTGATATTGAAATCCCCCCGAGATGACCCTATAAATCAGTAGCATATAGAATGGCACCTAGTAAACTGCATATTCGGCACTGCATGCTATTTACGTTCAATCTTCGAGAAACCGTAACTAAAGCCATCTAAATGGTTGTGCTCCTTATGATGAAGGAGCTGTGACTGATAGCTTATTCGCCTGACATGGTTCCATTTGATTACCATTTCTTCGATCACTACAACATCATTTAACATACGCACGTTTCAAGTCAGTTGACGATGCTGCAAAATGCCTCCATGGATTCGGTGTTATGTAAATTAGTAGACATAAAAATACATAGAAAACATAGGAAACATAGAAAGCCCAATTATGTAAAATTGCACAATTAGACAAAAAAACAAATGCCGATAGGTCGACTAATGGCTACGAATTTTCATGTAGTAAACAAGCTGGCTATTGGGGCACAGTCCAATGTGTTCCAATCAGTTCGTTCGTACATAATAATCTTGTGTCTTAAGCCACAAATGCTAAAATAAATCTAATTTATGATCTGTAGACATATAATGAATCAGTGTATCAAGTTTATCAAGTCCGGTAAATATACGAGTGAACAGAATTTAAGTTCGCACATGAAACATAAATTTTGCTACAAAATATTCGAATAATTTACGCACCTTCCAGGATTATTTTGCTTAGCGCTCTGGCAGCGAACGTGTTCAGTTAATAAAAATAGAAGTTCCTTGGCTAACTAAGTATAACAAATACCATAGCGCTGTGAACCGCATACCTTGACCCGTCTTTTGATCTTTTATATCGCTAAACCAAATATAACCATACGAATATATATTATTTTTGCAGCGATATTTTCAGTACGATGTCGCGGATTAAATTGTACGCACTCGGCGATAAACACGGAAATTCTATTGGGTTTAATATGTCGTATATTCGACAAATGTAAAGCTAATCGCGCCCAAATCAAACCAAAAAACACAGCAATTGGTCACCCCACAGTAATCAGCTCCATTAGACTACAATGTTTTATACTTTTCATTTCCTACAAGTTATAATTATGATATTGTTGACAATTATGATTTTATCGACGCTCGCCAACACATTACTCTTTTAAATTATATTTGTTTAAGTGTGGTACTATTAGGGTAGTGTTACTATTGGGTTGGTAACTAAGTAACTGCCGATTTGTTCAATGAAATAAAATTTTTTTTTTTACTTGGAACGAAGTTTAATCTGTAATGTATTTTCCATTTTGTTCGATGACCTTTTGCCATCTCTCCGACAACTTGAAAATTCCACGCTCGTAGAAAGTCTGATCCTTTTCGGTCAAAAACTGAGATAAGCGAGATTTTACAGCGTTATCATCATTAAAAGCTTTACCACGAAGGGAGTTGTCCAGGGATCGAAATAAGTGGTAATCCGATGGCGCGAGATCAAGGCTATATGGTGGGTGTAACGTCAATTCCCAACCAATATCCATCAATTTTTGCCGAGTAGACAAAGACGTGTGCGGCCTAGCATTGTCCTGCTGGAAAATGACACCTTTACGATTGACCAATTCTGCTCGCTTTTCCTTGACCGCTGCATTCAATTTGTCCAGTTGCTAACATTCGCGGATAATAAAAAATAACATAATAATAATAATAATAATAATAATAATAATTTTATAATACGACATTTACGGATATCATAAAAATGGGAGTGAGAGACATCTATAACTGAAATCGGCAATTACTTAGTTGCCAATATCTCATTTAGGTCAAAAGCACACTGAACCTACGAACTCATTACCAAGGATCTCACTGCTGTCGTTACAAATTACGCAAGGATTTCTCTTAGACAGCAGTTACCGTAGCTTAGCGCCAGGACTCTTCAATTCTCTTATAGTTTAAACTTTCGTCGAGTTCAATGTTCGTCGAGACCGTTGTTATCACTGTTTTGAAGTCGTGACGAGAGCAAATTGATTACTTTTTTTTGAGATATGCACTTTTTCGATGCTTATTATTAAGCATCTTATTATTAATAGAATATTATATAATATGATTATATATTAATATAATAAGCATCTTATTTAAGCAAGCTTACTATTAATTATCCGAGCTAATCAAGTGAACGTGAACCTTCGAATAATAAAACACTACTTAGATACAGTGCTAGATTAAGAAGATGTTCTAGTGTAAAATGCATTTTTCTTTAACTTTCTTTGAGATTTTCTTGCGAAAAAAAACAACCTTGCACATCTGCTAGGTTGAACAAAATTTCCAATTTTTTAGGTTTAAAAATATTAAGAATGTTGTCATTGACTTCATTGTAACGCAAATGGATTTAAAGAAGCCGGTTTTACAGTTTACATAAACGTGTAGGATACTTAACCGGTATGTGTTTGGCTTTTGCAAGCACCAAGAGCAAAACCCAAAGATCGATAAGAGAATTAATAGAAAGAAAATTTCTATTAATTGCATGCCAGTCTCTGCTTCAATGTTTAAGTATTGGCAATAGAAGAGTAGAATTTTATTTCGATTTAAAGTCAGCGTGTAACACGTTGTCATAGTTCATAGAAGAGTTAAATTTATGATCGCTACTCTGTAGATCACGTCGAACGTATTTGCACGATAAAGAATCCTAATATCATAGCTCCTCTTACGTTTGATTTTCTGTTTTGCAATTTTCATAATAACTTCGTACGCGGTGTCTTTATCGTCGACGCGGAAAAACGAGGAAAGAGAGACGAATCGAGTTTCGAAGTCCATCGATCTCCCGGCGCATAGATCATGCAAGAATCGAAAACTTAAATTATCCGAAGATAGATAGAAGCAAGTTGGTCTCAGGCTGATCTACATCGAGGAGCATTATCACGAATGGGACACATTTCTTTAGCATGAGATAACAAAAAAACTCGGCGACCTATTTAATTCTACTTTGAAACATTCTTCTACTATAAAAATGCATAGTGTTAATGAGTTTCTTCTACGTTCCCTTATATTATTTTTAATTTTATTCAAAAGTGCATTTTGTCCCATTCATCAATTGGTTGCATTGAATGGGATGGAAGTATCCATGAATGGGGCAGTATAATAAAATCAAATAATATCAGCATTAATCTTATAAGCAATAGGTTAATCGTATAAGTATAAGATTAATTGTCTGACATAGTTACGTATTAGCAGCTTCAAATTAGGTGTGATCAGATATGGCCAATACAGTTAGAAAACAAGTACAATTTTATTATAAAAAGACAGAAGAGGAGAACTGCCCATTCGTGGCAGTTCTCCGCAAGGCGGCGGGCCGTTTCATTCGCGCAACCTCAAACGTTCTTTCGCTCTCACGCTGCCGTCGGCAATAGCAATCGTGAAAAAGCGAAACGATGCGATTGCAACAACATTGACCATGATCGTGGTGGATTTCTGTTTCGCAGCCCCGAATAGTAGCAAGGCCGGGTCGCTTCACAAGCTGTCGCAAGGCCGAGCAGAGAGAAGCGGAAGCCGGTTCAAGGCCGAAATTATTCGCCTGGCCATGGACCTCGAGGCGAGGAACGGAACCGGCGGGAATAACGACGACGAATATACGAATATTCACTTCATCGTTGGCGATTGCAGGAAGATGGCCACCTACAAAGCGGATCAGGTCACGGACATGGAGCTTAAGGGTAAGTTCGCTCAATTGATCGTCCCGTTAATGGAAGTTGGATATGACGGCCGCGACAAGGGACCCATGCGGGCCACCTTGTGGAAAATTTTATGCCACGATCGTCGGGCTTGGTGGCAACTCTTAACCCTTAGCACTCCGAACCATTCTGGACGTTGGCTACCAGCTACCCAGCGCCACTTTTCGGCAGAAACGGGCATTTACAGACCCTCGTATTATTTTGTATGGTTTTGGAACTAACTAACATATTATAATGATATTGGACTTATATGAATTTGGTTGAAATCGAGAAATTTGCAAAAAAATCAATATTTTATTTTTTATAATTTCGTTATTGTTTGTTTTATAATTTTGTTTTGCTGTTGTAATCGCTATCTATGCGAACTCTTTCTCTCGTCGCCTTGTTGTTTGGACGATATCGCTATCACTGCTATCAAAACGATAGACTAACTGTAGAAGAAAACCTTCTACAG